AATACCAAATCGAAGATAGCCCTGTTTAATATTAAATAGAATTTATTCCCCTTCGATTCCGCAATATAATAATTGTTATTGTTATTTTATTGTGGGTACCCTTATTTGAAATTACGAGTGATTTGAAGCTCGGATAGGGAGTTGAAAAGCGCGCATTTAATTTAATTATATAAATAGGTCACTTGTAATTGAACAACTACCGTATTAAAGGCGGTAGCATGAAACTAATCTGGTAACATCCCCCGGTCGGAAGAACACCCCTACGCGAAAGATTAATTGCTCTCCCAAACTCCAGACCACCCGACCGTAACAGTATGATCCAAATTTGTAATTGCCTTCTACACCTTCCCCATCCTCATGATCTAACTTACATATTGGACATAACGACTCAGAAGTAATTCCATAATAATCGAAATCTTCATTGCTATATTCATAATATGGATTGGAATACTGCTCCAATGTTTTGTTATAGTTACAAAAACCTACATGGCTGTAATAATAAGCTAAATTATTTTGTTTTTTAGGTAAAGTCCTTTTTGGGTAAAGTTTTCTTTTCAGTTTTAGGTATAGACACACTTACCTTGGTTTTTGAATTGACAGAAACAGGAGATATACTTATCTTAGTGTCTGATATATTGGTTGAGCTAGATGAATCTAACATATTGCGCGTGACAATTCGAATCTTGGAAAAATCGCTTATAATATTTTGAATTTGAATATCTTTTAGACTTGAAATAGCACTTGCACTATAAGTTATTTGACGAATTTTATCTATTCCTATTCCTTTATAGAATGTATAGACTTTTTTAGCTCTCTGGAAGTTATTTTACGTAGTTTACATTGGTAATATCAGGAAGAAATGATTTGATTTTATTATACACTATTGTTCTTAATATCACTGACTCAATTGTCATATGCTTTATAAATCAACTATATTTTGTGATGTAACTTTAGTAGATCCTGTTCTAAAGAGAATTCAAGAATCCGAATATCAAATACTTTATTAGGCTTAGTATTATTATTGCTGAAGACAGTCACAGAGTGGCTATTGTCTTTAGTGCAAATATATAGCTCATGCCTCAAACTCGTTCTACTTGTTAATTATATGGCGTTTTTTAATTTATAGGTGTTGGTTCTAATTTAGCAGAAGTTTTTGGCCGTGCTGGCCCCGCCGATTCCGATTGAATATTTTTCTGGTCATGAGAAAGAGTAAATGCAATATCTGGAGAAATTTCAGTTGTAGGATTTTCAGAAGAAGGTATTTTTGTATCAATCTTTGATCTCGTAATTTCTTCTCCCTAATTTTTTGAATAATCTCTTTACTAACCCTTTCCTTATATATTGAATAATGAAAGTTATCCATCTCCTTGTCATCTGATGATTTAGTCTCTGTGCAAATAGGTGATGTGGTGTATTGGCGTGAGCCAGCCTCCGGCTGAGGCGAAGACTCCTGACATACATCAGAATTTGAAGCATTATCAGATATATCAGATTTCGAAATATTCTCATTTTGTGAAATTATCTGTTTAGGTGTATCATCAGAATTTGTTCTACAAGAGGCATTGATGTTAGCCGAAGATTGTTAACACAAATAAAAGGTCAACCCCCCTATTCGACAATCACCTGATTTCAATTTCACTATTTCATTGGTAACATCC